GCCGAAATTAAACGCTTCTAATGTCTTGAAAAGATAGTCCCACTCCACCCTATCAAACGCTTTTTCAGCGTCGAGTGACAGCATCACCTCGATATTTCCAGGATTGGACGGAGTCGAAACAATAAAGGATATTAAGTAGACGCCTGATATTGAAAAATGAATAACGATTTTTTATAAATCCTGTCTGGTCAGACAAAATAATAGAGGGGATAATGTTCTCAAGACGACGCGCCAAAATCTTGGCAAGAATCTTTGCATCTGTATTGAGCAATGAAATAGGGCGGTATGAACTGCAATTAAGGGGATTTTTATCTTTTTTAAGTAATAAAGAGACGACTGCTTGACGCATGGTTGGGGGCAAAGAATTGGTGACTAAAGATTCTTCAAATACTAACAATAACAAAGGAGATAACTGGTCAGAGAACTTTTTGAAAAATTCGGTTGAGAAGCCATCTGGCCCTGGGGATTTGCCACTTTGCATGGCACCGATTGCTGACACTATCTCCTTAAATGAGAAAACCCTTTCCAGTTCAGCCGAGAATTCTACACCTACAGAAGGCATTGTCAGGGATTTAAAAAAGTCATCTAGGACAGCAGGGTTGGTGGGCCCATCTGAAGTATATAATAACTGGTAGAATTTCTTGAAACAAGAATTGATTTTCTCATTGTCAGTGCATTTTAAACCACATTCATCGTTAATTTCAGGGATGGTTTGATTAGCAGTTCTTTGGCGCAGCTGGTGAGCAAGTGCACGGCCAGACTTTTCCCCATTTTCATAATGACCATGTCTTGATTTGGAAATAAGGTATTCAGCATGTCGGGTGGACAGGAGATCAAACTCTGTCTGTAATGACAAGCGCTTCTTAACTACATCTGCTGATGGGGAGTGGCTATGCAGCCTGTCTAACTCTAATATCTCATCTGTTAATTTTTTAATACGCTCAGTGCTAGCCCTTTTTTTATTTGCACAGTATGAAATAATTTGACCCCTTAAATATGCCTTTAGCGACTCCCAAACAGTAGATGGCGACATCCCTGGGGTTTGATTGATGTCGAGAAACATTTTAATTTCAGACGATATGAACTTAGTGAAGTCAACTTCTGACAGCAGCAGATGGTTAAACCGCCATGAACGATGTGTAGATTGTGTATTAGGAATGTACATTTTCATGATTAAGGGACCATGATCCGAGATGACCAGAATTCTTTTATCCAGGAAAAAGTAATCAATACGTGAATACGTCTTATGCACCGGGGAAAAGAATGAGTAAGCCCTAGAGGTGGGGTTACGAAACCGCCACACATCCGCTACACCATAGGTCTTCAGGAAGAGCTGAATAGAGTAAGCTGACTTTGTCAGGGATGCCCTCTTAGAAATGCTCCTATCTAAAAGAGGAGAGAGTACACAGTTAATGTCACTGCCAAGTATAAGATGATGTGATGACAAGTCTGGTAAGTGAGAAAAAAAATTGGTGAAGAATGTAGAGTCCCAGTTTGGGGCATAAACACAGGCTAAAATAACTGGGGGCAAGTATAATTTCCCTACCACAATGACATATCGCCCTGTAGAGTCAGTTTGCACATGAGATGGCGTGATGTACATTTTGAATGAATTCACTTTTATTTACTTTCCTATTTTACTGTCTTCCTCCCTGCAAACTGTGCAGAGGCTGTTGTGTGCCAGGGAAGTAGAAATGAGCTTATGCAAAAATGATTTTGCTTAAGAAGAACATTGTTGTATGTTTTAATTAAATGTGTTTTGAAGATTATTATCAAGTTTTATGTATAACAGCAATATCTATAATGTAATATGTAATTGGTGAAAACAGTTGCGCTTAACACAGCTGCCTTACTCGAGAGACTAATATCCTTTCCGTGATTCTGCTGTCCAACCTGGAATGATTGATGTTGAACATTTTCATTGTTTATGTACATTTAGGACAACCGTTCAGGACAACTGATTTTAGACCATTACCATGAGACACTACTGTGAGTTCTTGCATCTTTAGGTTTGGGTTATGCTTGAGAATAACTAGTTTGCTGGAGAGATATTTTGTCCATACAGGCTTATTTATTTAAAATCTTATACCGCATACATTTATATGGTGTCTCTCTGTTGGGTTTGTGATTGGTCGGTCTTTTTATCTTTCAAATACAAATTTTAAAGAAATTTCTATAAGTCTATAACTGTTATGTTAGTAATTATAAAAGTAGATATGAGTAGTGGATAGTAAATTAATGCTATTCTGACGTGTGTGTGTGTGTGTGTGTGTGTGTGTGCGTGCGTGCGCGTGCACATTCTTCATGCCACCGCTACATGAGTCAGTGCCTCCACTTGTGCCACCCAAGTGAAAACAGTCACCACTGCTCACGGTGTCTGTTTGTCTCTGAAGCAGACAGAAAGAGGCATGCTAAATTAATAAAGGAGTTTCTACAGAAAAGCAAACAGAGGGAAGCAAATGCTCCACATTGCATAATCGCTTACAGTAGTTTCTTTTATTTACTTTCCTCTCTCAAAAAGTGAACAACTTCAAATTTCCTCACTCTGCTGAGTGTCTCTCTCTCTCTCACAAAAACACAAACACAAACACACACACACACACACACATTACAGAGGCTTTACTCACATCTTCCAGTCACACTGTGGCGCATTCATTCCCTTTCCCTCGGGCCAGCTGTCTTTGCGTTGAAACAAGTGACAACACAGGAAGAAAACCACTATGTTTGCTGGCTTTATTGGCAGAAAATGAATGTCATGTTGCACAATGATTTGCGGTAGGAAGTATTTCTAACAACTTAAAAACAGGATGGGGCAACTGACTCACCAGACACCAGATGAATTTACCTAATCCGAACAGCACTGACTGGAGTGATGCAGGAAGAGGAACAGAGGACAGGGTGGAGTGGGAGGTGGTGGTAGTGGAGAACAGAAAAGAACAATTGTGTGGTTGAAGAGAGATGCAGCATCTTATAAAGTTATTGTGCCATCACCTGTTCCGGGAACAGTCGAGCTAATCACTTAACTGTTTTATTAAGCTATTCTCAGCATCAAGCACTGCTATTGATCAATATATTGTGTCAAGTAGTTAAGTAGAAGGTTACAATAGTGGGTCTACTTTTATTTTTGTTCACATGAAACTTTTGTACAATTAACTGTTGGCAGATAAAGATTTCTTTTCACAACTGAAGCTTTTGTTAGGTTGACTTATGTTTTTAATGTACTCACTGATCAAAGAAGCCTCTGGATGCTTGCATCTCTGTGAAGCTGTACTTTCGCACAATGGTGCTCTGAGCCAAATGCCAACATCAGCATGATAACATGCTCCCAATGATAATGCTAACACGTTGATGCATAATGTTTACCATATTCACTGCCTTAGTTTAGCCTGTTAGCTTGCAATTATTTGCTAGTTACTAAACACAAAGTACAGCCGAGGCTGAGGGGAATGTCACTAGTTTTGCAGGTATTTGGTCATTACACTTATTATATATGTGATCACAGTTCATCCAACAAAAACAAATTTCAGTCAAACCATCCAGTAGTTCCACACAAAACCATAAATTTTAACCCGCTGGTGGCGTTAGAGGAAAAGTCAAGGGATTCATTGTCTGTGGACTATGAATGTCTGTGCAAGATTACGTGGCAAAACGTCTGTAACAAACCTGACTCACTGACTCACATCTGACCAACAGGTTCACCACCTCTGGCCGCCGTGGCTCAAAATACATAAGCATCTGAGGCTGGCCTCTTAAGCATGTGTTTTAAGCTTATTTCTATTGTGATCCTTTTGCTCTTGGTATGAATATTGCCATGACATATTAAAACTTCAGTCACAAGTTTTAATATTTAGTCATTTACTTTACAGAAAACGGACGTCACTGTTGTTCTAATGGAGCTGAATCACCCATCTGAACAGACAATTGTGCTCCCGCTTGGCTCATCCCCCACCCCCCCTCATGCAACGGCTGGTGATTCAGCAGAACTTAACACACATATTCATGCACAGACACACACGCCAGAGCAGATCAATGTGAGATTATCAGGAGCATTCCACTAGTGTCAGGGACCAGACTGTCAGCCAAAAGGAAGTGGTGTTCCTCTGATTCCTAAACCACCCAGTGTCATGGAGGACCTGATGGTTAGATGAGCATGAATGAGGACGCAGACCATTTGGCTTTCCAAATTCTAAGCCTACTGGACACTGACCAGAACAGTATCAGGTAACTGAGGTCAGCATAGAGACATATCTATTTGCTTTTTATCCTTGGTTGTTTCCTGCAATTAACACTCCTTCGAAAAGACAAAATCAATACTAGAAGATAACCTATGCTTAATTTATGACATTTTCCCCCGCAGAGCTGAGGATGTTCTTTGCTTTTACCAGCCCTAAGTGTCATTGCCATTTACTAGCTTTTGTTTATTAATGCTTTGTCTCTAAAGCCTGACATTTATCATGTGTATTGCTTGGGCACTTTTTATGTGATAATAATCACCTGCCAAAGCAAATTTAAGGGTTCTCCATTAGCATTGAAGCCATTATATCTGAAGAGCTGTCACACTGTGCCATAACTATGCTACTTCATACATTCCACATGCGAGTTTGCTCTGAGTTATTTCCACATCAATTTCCACGTATAAAAATACTAACAAACTACAAATGAAATTTAGAAAATGTTAGGCTTTCCTTCAAACAATGATAGTGATCTTTCAAACATGGGGTGACAACTTTAGAATATTTAGCCTGAAGGATAATGTGGAGTAACTCCTATGCAGAGCGTTAGCTAAAAAGCTAATTTATAGAACAGTCAAAAACCCAACCTGCCAAACAGGCTGGTCCTCTGTATATCTTAATATTTCTAGAAGTAATCCCAGAACATTGAAACTGTGGGCAGTGAAGTATTAATCAGAAAATATGTGTCAGTTCTTCTCTTAATGCCAACCGTCTCGTTGATGAATGGATTTTACTCATATGTCTTTCCTTCCTTGTCCCTATTTACAGCTAGATCAGCCAGCGCCCGGTCAAGGAGAACAGAAAGAGAGGGATCTGGCGTCACCAGTCCCAGTAAGTAGATTGCCCCTCTGTTATTGTCATCTATAAATTCATCTGTCCATTCATCTATCTTTTCGTACATTTAGTACATGCATACCTTGTGCAAACACCCATTTCACTAACAAAGACCACGCCAATGTGAGGTATTAAAAGGTAGTTTATTTGGATAATGAGGAGTATTTATGATGGAGGGATGGAGGGGTCGAGAATGGAAGGATGAAGGAGGTTGTTAAGGGTTTGGTGGCCTGCCCAGTTAGGAACTTGGGGGTTGAGACTCAGGGTGGGGGCCTGTCTAGATAAGTTGCTTGCTTATGAACCCCCTGTTGTAGAGAAAAGACAGAAATGATTGCTTTGGCAGAATTAAGGATTTTAGCATGCATGTCTTTGATGGTGGGAGTAAACCGCACACTTTACACAGAAAGGCCTGTGCTGAGCGAGGTCTGAACCCAGGACCTTTGTGCTGTAAGGCCACAGTACGGTCCACTGGGCCACTGTGCTGCCCACTGAAAGAGGTGACAAAACAGGGTTTATGGGGGAGGGATGGGAGAACTGAAAAACAGGAGAGAAAGGGGTTAGACAGGCTCAAATACGTATGTGCATGTGATTGGATTAGAGAGGCACAGGTCCATCCAAATTTTGTCATTGTCAAAGTCATCCACCACTTACTTTTAATCACTCACTATTCCTGTTAAGTATGACATAAGTCTGTGTCATCGACCTTCGTTCGATGTCAGATGTGGTAACACTGAGGGTACTGTTTCATGTCCTGGACTGAAGTCTGGAGCATGAAATAGTGATCCCACTCTACTGGGAGAAAACAGAACGACATCACGTTAGCTACTTAATAGAAAATGCATCATTGTAGCATTACTAAATAGCTCTTTTCCTCTCTGTTTCTCTGGATAAATATGGATATGGATAAATTGGCCTTCCTATAAGACTGCATCAATGGATAAATTGGAAGTGTTAGGTGTCACATCAGGTGTCGCAGCATAGAGCTTCACACCTGCCAGCTTCAGCTTCACTCAGCCCTGCACTGATATGTCACACTAGACGCAACAGCTCCACATGTGCCTCTACATGTAACTGTAAATGTAAGTGTCAGAGGTCGCTCGATAGTGCAGTGCACCTGACCATTGCAGCTTCACTCAACACCACACCTGCTCCTACACCTGAGGTTACTTTTGCTTTATCAGGTGTAGTGTTGGTGTGGGGTATGTGTGCTTACACCATAAAGTGAAATGTCAGTGTGACACCTAAATGAAACAGATATCACCCACACCACATGTGCCTGACGCCTCTGTAACTATTGTAAGTCTACGGAAGTTGTAGGTGTAATGTCTGATCACAGAGGTCATGTTAGGCACTAGTGAGGGGTTTGAGGTACTAGTGTGTATGATCTTCCTGACTTCGATGCAATCGCCACAGTGTGTGTGTGTGTGTGTGTGTGTGTGTGTGTGTGTGTGTGTGTGTGTGTGTGTATGTGCACATTGGCATTTAGAGGGAGATGCCCCATACAAAACATCTGCTAACAGGGCAGATTTACGAGCCGGCAGGGGGGTGTTTGGGAGGATACTTTACTGTAACCTCATGTACACACACACACACACACATACACAGGTCTATCCAACACTGTTCCTATTGTTGATCTGTGTGTGGTTAATTCCCATCTGGCAGTCAGCAGATCCTGCTGAACAGAATTAGCTGTGTCCAAGGTGATAAAAAAAAATCGTCTTGTTTTACGGTTATTTTTATTGATCAGTAATGAAATAAAAATGATTAATATTGTTACATTTAATAACTCTGCAAGGTATACTTACATATATAATATTTATATTCTTTAATCCACGTATAGCAAGGTTTTATGTCAAAATGTGTTCACCTTATTGTCTTAGATCCAAAAGAAGAACCTGGCAATGAACAAACTGAATTTGAGAAAGTATTTCATAAACGGGAGTGAGTGAGTGCTCCATTCAGAACTGCTTCCCTCATCTCTGTATTATTTGGTGTAAAACATGACAGACTGCCTCAGTTGGAAACACTTAATTTTTTTATTGTTATTGTTTAGATATCAAGACTATCCATCTAATTAATCTGTAATTAATTTTGAGGTGTGTGTTAATCCTTCCCCACACCTCCTGCTTGGTTTGTAAACTGTGTGCTCTTTACTTGTGGCAACTTGCAAGCCATCAATGTTACATATTTTGGCCATTTGGGGCCGCCAATCTGCAAATATACCTCCCTTTATCACCCAATATATTGAAATTAGGCAGCTGGCTTTAATTAAAGAAAAAATACAAACACACACACACACACACACACACACACGCTAAATGCTAATATGAATACACAAAAAATGCACACAGGTCAACCTGCAATTCACAATTCGCTGGAGCGATATGTGTTGCACAAGACATCAGATTGACTTGTCTGAGTGTGTTTGATGTCTCTATCAGAGCTCAGACGCTTGCCATGTGACCGCTGACCTCCAGCGCACTGAGTGACGTGCCAAAGGTCAGAGGTCACCTGAGTTTCCTGAACACAGAGACGGGTCATGTAACACATACACACACACTCACTAGTCCTCTTTCTTTTTCCCTCTCTTCGATTATTCGCTGTTGCTGTCATTTTTCCTCACTAGTAGCACAAGCATACGCATGCTGCCTCTCCTGTAATAACCCTTCAAAACAGTTTTGGGAAGTGTGTTTTTGTAGAGTTCCCCAAGTTTGCTTCTGCTTCATCCTTCCACACGTTTACAAAGGCAGAGCTGTATCTGATTCATCACGAGGAAGTCTAGATGTAGTTTGGGGAATGTCTTTCACTCCTGTTTGACAAGATTGCTGTTGGTATCAAATGAATCAAGGCCACAGCGCACATACACACACACACACACACACACACACACACACACAAGGGAACATTATAAGTTCGCTGACGGAAGAGTTTGCAAGTCCAGCGGGTTATTTTAGTCTGTAAGGAGGCTGTCCATGTCACATGGCGGAGCTAATGGTTTCTATTTTCGAGATACAATGCTGCTTCAGTCTTTTGGTCTCATCAGAGGAAGGAGAGAGAAAAAGAGAGGGGTGAATGCAACATATGATCAGCACATGGGGATGTCGTAATTCTGAATTCATTAGCAAGACACACTGAAGGAATCAAACTGGGGAAAGAGGGAGGGAGAACAGAGAGCCCAAAAGGAAAGAGAGAGTAAGAAGAGGAGGAACGAGGAACAGAGGGAGGGAGGGAGGGAGGGAGGGAAAGAAGGACGAGAGAAAGGGAAGTCCAAAAAAAGACAGAGAGAGAGAGAGAGAGAGAGAGAGAGGGAGAGAGTGGAGTCAAAGAGCAGACACTACATGTGGCTGTGGAGGGAGTGATCTGGTTATGGAGGGGGACAAATTCTCAGGTAAGACAAACTCTCTGGAAACTGCCAGCCCAGATGAGCTCATGCTTCTGTTCTGAATGGATAACAAAGTGTAGTTAAAGGTTCTTCAATCAGCTTTTTTACTGTGATCGAATGTCTATTCTGTAAGAGCCTGCCTCTGTTTTCCCCTCTACGGTATTTTCCACTCTCTCATTCTGTCCTGTTTGCTGACTGCATGTTTTCTTTGGGGTTTGGAGCTGGGAGCTCTGCAGGGTTTGTGTAGCAGCTTTAGCCGACCTGTTCTGGTTTATCTGCCTTTTATCTGTTTTGTGCCTGTTGTGTTTGACTCTGTTTCCGCCCACCATCTCCACCCATCTGCCCCATTGTTTCCACTTAAATGTTTTTGTCTTTACAGGTTGTTGCTCAGTCACCACCTCTTTTGCATTCCCGTCCCTGTCTCATGCCTGTCTTGACTTATTTTCATTTTTCACGTTAGCTTCATGAAAGAAAGACATCGATTGCAGAAGAAAACTTTCTGGATGTCTGTTTCTGTGGTGAAGTGACACAGAAACAGCACTTATTTCTCAGGCATTTCTCTCTCTCTCTCTTTTCTCCATCTGCATTCTCCCATTCTTCTTTGGTGTGAAAACAGGAAAGAGCTCTGTTTGAACAGTACTACTCTTGTCCCTTGTGGCTCTGATCCCACTTCGGCCATCAGTCAGTCCCTCCTTTAGCAGGACAGAGAAAGGCCTGCTTCAGTCCACTAGCAATAAGTAAGCTGACTTTGCAATACAAATCCTTACTTATTCTACCCCTCTGATGTTGTTTTCTCCATTGGATGACGTAAACTATATGCACATTGAGTTATTAGGTTTGTCTGTGTGTGCGTGTGTTGTACATTATGCTGAAGTCGTTAGTGAGGCAACGCTGTCTGCTTCCTGATGGTATTTTTATGACTGTTGTGAGTGTTGTTAAAAAGGCATGAAAAAAGTGGTTGTTGCAGTGTGTGTGTGTGTGTGTGTGTGTGTGATGGAGGTATCACCCTCCTCTGTCTCTTTCTCTCTGTGGCCCCTTGTCTTCAGGTGTGACCTCCAGGGAGCCCTAACAGCTTCAGCAGGACATACTTAGTGGATATTTCAGTTTTGGTTGAAAGTTCACATTTATGTATTCACTCTTTCTAATGTGTAGGGTATTTGTGTGTGTGTGCCAGTCAGTGTGCTTTTGGGTCAATGTGAAGTAGTTTGTTTGTCTATAGGCTGTTTGCTGTGTGTGTTTCCTGTGTTTTCTTCCCACATGAATCAACAGTGATGATGCTCTCAACGGAAACTGCCCATCAGCAAATTGTGAAGAAAGATTAAAGGGGCTGACGCGTCCCATTCATTCCAGTCACAGCGAGGTCAGCTGATGATGCATGCTGAAAGTCTGGATGACACAGCCACAGTCAGCTCTGACTGAAGTCTCAGGCTCATGACTTATAGAACAGCCTCAGCTAGTTTAGCCTCATATGAACCTTTTTAATGAATACAGTGAAAGATGTCAGTCATCTTGAATCTGTCCTAAAGGTGTCTGTTTGATATGTAATATACACTTCTCCCACAAGGTGGAGGTGATGAGCTGAGTAACCCAAAAAACTCTTTAGGTCTCTCAGTTG